TTTAATTTTTTGTTTAGGGTTTAGGGTTTTACATTTAGGTGCAAGCCATCAATGTTTAGGGCAATTTGTTATGAACTGGCCCAATATATCAAAGAAAATGCTATGTGGATTCTTAGGAGGCTTGACATAATCATTTCTTAAGTTTGCTGCCAATTAAACAAGACGTTCCATTAAATATAAAGCTTATAGAATGCTGGAATTTTGTTAGGCATGCTTTCTAAATTAGACAACATGAACTGCATTTCACTGCAGATGAAGTTGCTTTAATGATTGGGATGCCTAATAGAGGGGAAGAAGTATTTTTGGGAGAAGGAACCCCTCCCCAGTTTAACATCGTTAAATTTTTAAAATAAATTTAAGGAGTATAAAAAAAATCTTGATAAATTTATTTGTACATTTATAAAGTTTTTGCTAATAAACCATTTTTTCCCCTACCGTAACGATAAAGTATCTAGAGATCTTCTCTTTTTTGCAAGAAACGTTCATGAATTTTCAAGGTATAATTAGTCAGATGCCATATGCAGGTTTTTAGTTAATCAACTTGATGTCATGGTAGAAAAGGGAAAATCACAGATATCATTTGGATACATAAGTGGCTATGTCACTCTTTCGATGGTAAATATACTTTCAATATCATGTTTGACATTACACATGATTGTATTGTCTAAATCTAATTTTTCTCACTTTACAAATCTTTTTTTTAGCACACAAATGTTGTGGCCTCAATCATGCATCATGTAAGACCTCGAATCTTGTGATGGTTGCATGGGGAAAAAAGGTGCGTAGTGAAGTTTTTTCACAACTGCAACCTAGCCAGATTGTGGTAATCAACTGTCCATTTTCATTAATCATGTTAGCATTTTCATTATTATTGTCTATTATTTTCTACAGGTTTTTGAGTTTTTTAGAGATATTAATGTCGAGGAATCAGTTTCACTAATCAATAGTTCCAATATTCATCATTCATCTAATTTAGAATCTTTGCTTTTCAAACTTGGCTTTCAAACTTGGCTCTATACATACTCAGCCACCCAGCCAAACACCAAGCAGTATACATAGTCCCCCACATAGCCTTATGCATAGCTTCTAACAAACTCATGTGTAAAGTCCTCCACCATTCCTTGTACATAGTCAACATCATAGACCTGTACATAAAGAAGTTTTGGTGTTAATAAATCAAATCAAGCGTAGAGTCTTAGATTTTAAATCTACAATATCTAATAAGATGGGGGTGACGGAAATCACTCTTATGAGTATAATAGATAGTGCTGAGAAACAAACAATATTAATCACAGAAGAACATAACATATTCAAACCCCTTCTAACAACACATACTTTCATGCCTCATCCTGAGCCCAAACCAACAATAAATAAGTTTGAAGGCAATACTCAAACTAAGGATGATGCTTTGCAGAAAAAGGGCATCATTCATGCTACTCCAATTGAAAGACATTCCATTGTCAGTGTCATTAAAAAAAAAAGAGAAATGAGAACTAAAAATGTAGTCAAGTCTCCCTTCACAAAAAAAAAGGATAGGAAAAGAAAATTAAAGAAGTTCCTTTGAAAAAATCTATAGAGCAAAAAAGAAAAAATACCATCAAAGAAGATTCCAGCTGAGAAACAAGTCATTTTAAGAGAATGCGTTTATGCTGATGAATATGTGTTGAATGTAAGATCTATTTATAATAATAATTTTTAAGGCAAACAAGCCAGATTTGTTAATGGTAAAGATACTTAAACTGAACTAACTTACAACCAAGAGTGGACGTGATAGTTGTTGAATTTCAGGCTCGAAAATTTTTATCACCAGATAAACTAGAATTCATAGATCGATGGTATGCACGTTTTATAGACAGATATATTGCTTCTCTAATATGTTCCTTTTTAAATTACTTTAAGATGACTATGTTATTCTTGATGAATTACAGGGATGAAGTATTGTGAGAGCTGACAATATCATACCGTCCAAAAGCAATGTTGATGATGTTCTTAAAGATAATTATTTAGGTGACATACATGTGGATATATTTGTCCATTTATTGGTTGAGGAAAAAAGACTTGCTCCTGGATTATGTGTTCCATTTTTATACATTTCTACACTGCATTGGTTTAGTAACAATTGCACATAATTGCATGCAATGATACACACAAGTTGGTTAATAGCAACTAAAAATATACTTATTTAATTTGAAGGGTTGCTCTAAATATGATCACATGCAAAATGAAAGCAAGATGTTTATAAACCACGTAAATAAAGATAGTGTGAAAGCAGCTAAGTTAGTTGTTGTACCAATTGCAAATAATCAACATTGAACCTTATTAGTGGACAACTTGAAAGATCAAAAGTTGTTCTTTTACGATTCCTTATCAAATCAAGTTTTAATCAAAATAGTGAGTACTCATTTATTATTCTCATCTATCTGTCTTTGAAAACACATTAATAAGCTATTCTATTTTATGATTTCTTCTAATGTGACAGATAAAGCTTATAGATAAGGTTGTCAGAAGTGCTTTTGATTCAAACATTGTAGAGTGGTCGATTGAAGTTGTCTGTGGGATTCCACAACAACTAAATATTATTGATTGTGGTATGATTATGTGTAAATACATTGACAACATTGTTTCTCAGCAAGTGGTTGGTTGTGGCGAACATCCAGATTGACAACTTAAAATGTCACTATTTAGGGCTAAATTTGCTTGCAAACTTTTCGTGCTTGCATCTCGACTAGCTTCCTGAAGAAAATTACGTTGTAATTTATGTTACTTTCATTTCATAATTTGAATTATATGATTGAAATTACTTGAAAGAAGAATTGATAGCCTTATGCAACCATGCTATACTAATCAATATTGAACACACTTATCCAATCAAATGTGATAGCACGACGAGCAAAATGGTTATAGTCAACTAAAGAACAAGTACAACCATGTTGTACTAATCAAATTTTAGCACACAAGGCCAATCTAATGTGATGATACAGTTAACATTATGGTTATTCACAACTTAAGGACGATTACAATCATGTTATACTGATCAATATTTTATACACAATATCAATTTAAAATAATAATATGATCAACAACATGATTATAGTCAACTTAAGGCAGAGTACAACATGGTTATTATCGACTGGAGATTAGTAGGTTTGTGGTTGGCTTGCCTCGTCGTGCTTCTTCGCTCACCCAAGCACTCTAAAACCACCAGTGTGCTGTTGAGCGGAGCCCCATATGTAAATTAAAATTAAATGTTTTATCTCCATATGCAATACATATAGTTTGAGAATCTCCATATGTAAAGACCCCTCTTATTTAATTCATCAACAATAATGAAATACAAAATTTTGTTTCTAATTATGAGTTATTAATTTTATGTTTGTGAAATTAATTAATTTATATAATTAATTTGTCCATCCCCAAAAAAAATATGAAGCAAATAAATTCCATAATTTATATGAGACATAAAAATATTTTTGTTTATATTCAATAAGTTAACGAGTCAACACAAATGAGAAAATTATATCAGCAGCCCTACAGCCCGCCGGCTGCGAATGTACCTCCGGCGACCGGGCGGCGCCGTCACGGCCGCCAGCATCATCAGGGTTCGCACAGCACGGAGCCGTACGGAAAGAACGTGACCTGGACCCCACCATTTTGACGAAACAAAGCCTGCCAGCTGTAATCCAACGGCTTGTACTGGGGGGGCCCACCCTCACTCTCTCTCTCTCTTCAATGATTCATCATCACTTGCGCTTGTGTGCTTCTTACATTCTGCCTCTATTATGGCATGACGCGTACTGTAATAGGTGAGGTTGATGGCGAGGGCATCGAAGCACGTGAGAAGGTTGAGGATCCCGAGGCGGAATCTCTTAATTAGGCCGAGCTGGCTTCGGACCTCACGTGCTCGCTTTAATGACCCATTACCTCCATACTTCCTTCGGCTGTAGGGTAAAACTTATACCCCTTAGCACAGAGCTACGTGTCGCCCACTCCATAACTTATTATTTGTTGACCTCCTAAATTATTTTAATTTTAAAAATCTTAATATTTAAGATATGTTATTAATAAGGATTAGTCAAAAATAATACTTGATTTTAGTTCATTAACGATCATCTTAATTCCTAAACACCTAACCTGAACTTGCATGTGCGCCTCAGTGGTGCACATGATCCAACTTGAATCAATTTCTTTTTAATTTATTAAATAGTTTGTTTACTTAATTATTTATTAATTCATCTCATGACTCATCCATTAAGTTATTGAAATAAAAAATAAATATTATGTTCTTAAAAAATTTGCTTACATGAGGTTAGTCATGACAAGTGCAACAAATAGTATTGGATAGTGCTACAAGTATTCAATAGGATATGTTATGTGTCTTAGTTTGTACTTGTAGCTTTAGACGTATGAGAAGGTATGTCATATGTCTTTATTATGTTGGGGTCGTTGCATTGTGTTAATAGAATGATCTAAACGCTACATAGTCAAGAAAATTATAATGATTATGATGTTGTATTCAATGAGAAACTTTAGATCAAATGATCAGATACTATAAGTTGTATATAAATTTTCCTCTTTATGTTTATAAGTTTTTTTCATTTTTCTTACATGCAGTACTAGTAACGTCTTATCAATGAAGTATCTAAGTGATTCAAACATTGATTTGTCGTTGTTGATAACATGTTCATTTCTACGTACATTATTAAGACCTCTAGTTTTTGTCAGCCTTGTAAGCACTTTTGTGCCAAAAATGATCTATGAAAAGACTTGTATCAGTGGTTCTAAAGCCATCAAGAAAAATTTCTAGCTGCGGTCATTCTTTAGAGTGGATTTACATGCTGCAGATTTCAAAATTTTTTAATATACACATTTCAATAAACTTGTATACATAATAACATAAATATATATAAAAGAAGATTTACATGTATTTATATGTCTAACACACTGCAAATATAAAAATTAAAAGTTATGAAAATGAAAAAAAAAAAACACAAAATTCATACAAAATGGTTCTAATATCTCAAATACATCAAAACATATATCAATCCATCATTTCAGTTTCCAATAATTAAAAAACAAGTATTCAATGGGTATAAAAATACATAAATTCTACAAACAAGTAGTAACATCCCCGAAACATTAAAACATTTAGCACTCCATGACATAAACCTCCATCAACCTTACAATAAAAGAAATATATTAAACAAAATGCATAAAGAAACGATGATCAATACGTGAAATTCCTCCTCAATTCGTCATTCAGATTAAGGTTCGTTGCATCCCTGTTAAGAACAAAAATAGTCAATTAATAATTTTAAGACAAATAAAATTGACTAAAATATTTAATTAAGTGGCATTGACATACATACCGACCACCTTTTCTATGAATACAAAAAGAGAAATACACCATTTGATGCGTAGGTACGTTCACATGCATGTAAAAATTGGATTTTTGATGTTAGATATGTATATGAATAAGAATTCTGTGGTATGCATGTAAATCTTCCTAACAATAATTGTCAGATGCATAACTGTACCTAAAAAGACTTGGTCTTGTCGTATGAAAAATGATATTAATTTATTTGAATTAAATGAAAATCTGACACTCTATATCCTAATATCATATAAAAAGTAGCATTTAATATGCATATGTTTGAGGACTTTTCTGTCATCATTTACACAGTAAAAGGTGACAAAAAACTTAGGTTACATAATCAGAAATCAGAAAATCAGAGCATATCGGAGACGTGAAGAAACAATGTTTATTTTTATATGTCACAAAACTAGAAAAATATACAGCGAAATTTACATAAGTGGCACACAATTCTTATGCATTTACATATCACACACCATAACTTTCATATTTACATACATAGCACTTTGGTGTTTTAAACCCATGCATGAAAGGATGCATTTCACTTTTAGAAGGTGGTAATAGTACTATTAAAAATTTGAGTGTTATGTGTGTAAAGATGAAAGTTTGTGCGAGACATGCAAATACATAAGAATTGTGTGCTAAGCATGTAAATGCCCCCAAAAAAATAAGGAAGAATCAACTGGAAACTCAATAGTATTCATATGAATAAACACAGTAAATTAGTCCAAATGAGATGCCGTAGAATAAAATATAAAAAAAAATCCAAATTCCAGTATGACAAAACTGTTTCATAGTATGCAAAAGGTGAATGCTGCTTCTGCAGCCATTGCTGAAATAAATTTGGAATCCCTGAATTTGAGATTGTCCACCAAGAGGTGCAATCAAAGCTTGAAGTCAATGAAATCTAAGCAGACATAACAATATTCGATCCAAGAAGGGATGCAACTCAATCTAATGTTTCTACATGAGTGAAAAACATTAAAAATTATGATGGTTTGCACATGTACCACTTAATTCCCATGTATTTACATATCTAACACCTAAACTTCAATTTTTACATATACGCCACCTTAATTGAGAATTGGGTTGTATAAATGTAAAATATAAAGTTCAGGTATCTGAAATGTAAATACATAAGAATTGGGTGCTATGTATGTAAATGCCCCTAAGAATAAATCTTCTTAACTTATACCACGCTCAGTTTCAGTTTATGCATGATAAAGTAAAATCTGCACAAAAATTCCATTAGAGGCAGACATGTCTTCATTATTATTATAGCTTCCAAAACCCATGAACGGGGAACAAAAGAAAAAGTATACAGAAGAATGCCACTGTTCAGAGAACTGTATAGATGTATATCTTAAAAATTGTTCAATTGCAGGTTTAACGATTAAGGCATCTAAACATAAGCGTAAATTTTGTTTAATTTCAGGTTAATAGAAGTACTCACAAGTCTCCTACAGGTGCACAGGCTAGTAATTTAAAGAAACCATAAGAATAGTGAGTTGTAAAGGATAGTTTGATACGCTACTGCAGCGCTAAGTACTCATTCCTAAAGTGCGTTACTTCAAACTTTTACCTTTCTAGGGAAAAAAACATTAACTGTCTTCATCAGTGCATGAAACCAAATATAGCAAGAGATTCAATCTAATGCAGATGAACACCTCAGATAACAGTTGTAATAACAATAGAGACAGAGATGAACTTTTGAATAAACATTGAAGAATATCATAGAAATTAAAGCATTTACCTTTACAAGACTTCCAACGAGATTTAGCATACTGATTCTGTTGTATTCAAAAAGTGTTGGTGCACAAGTAAAAGAGAAGGAGAAAAAATCAAACAAAGGTTCATAAAACAAGCAACCAAAATTAATCAAAAGTATCAACCATTTATGTACACATTGCTGAACAGACCGATAAGTGTGATATTAGATGCATCAACTCATCTTGACCATGTATGCATAAAATTGAAGATATACATACATACCACTTAATTCCTATGTATTTACATATCTAACAACTAAGGTTCAACTTTGACATGCATATGCCACATTACTTATCCAAGATAATGAGCATTTCACATTTTAAAAGTTAAAATACTGTTATTTTGGTTGTGATATGAAAGGTTTGGGTGGTATTAATGTAAAAAAGTAAAGTTTAGGTGTTATATATGTAAACATAGGAATTGGATGGTATGTATGTAAATGCCCTAAAATTAAAATTTGTAAATCTATACAAATTACCTAGCACATGAACAAATATCTCAAATACATAAAAATATATATCAATCCATCATTTCAGTTTCCAATAACTTAAAAAAAATATATTCAAAGAGTATAAAAATACACTCACCAACTGAGTTGTAACATCCCCTAAACATTAAAACATTTATCAATCTATCAGACAAATGTCCATCAACCTTACAATAAAACAAATCAAAATACAATAAACAAAAGTGCATAAAAAAATGACCAATATGTGAGATTCCCCCTCAATTCGCCATTCAGCTTAAGTTTCGTTGCATCCCTATTAAGAACAAACACAATTAATTAATAATTTTAAGATGATTAAAATGAAATAAAATATTTAATTACTTAAAAAATAACATACCGAGTTTGATTCTTTTTGTGGTTGATAATTCGACTGCATTTGTTGAATGAATCGTCTTACCTCATTCCGTAAGGAACGAATGTCATTTTCTAATTTTTCAACTTGAGCACATATAGACATACTATTTCTTTCACCTGCAGTTGTGGTACTATGTGCAAAAACTCGAGTTGGAGTGACTCCAAACCACTATGTTCGTACCCTTTTAGGGTGTTCAGGGCCCATAACAACCATGAAAGCCCTCTCATTTGCTTCTATATTACCATCTTCCAGACTTAACCCTTCCATCTCTAACATCATACAAGCTTGTTTTTGCATTACAAAAGTATATATAATTAAAATCAAAATGATTTATTTAATTAAGCACTATAAATATAATAAGCTGATATTATTGCCCATTTCTCGTTAGCATTTTCAGATGACCATGTCCCATACTTGTGTATCATATAAAGTCTCCATAATTGCAGTCAATCATGAATAGCCTTGAAAAAAAATGATAAAAAAAAATTAATTTGCAATACTTACTATTTATAATTTATTAAAAAAATAACATCTTATAGTTTCAGTCTATCGCCTGACAAAGATAATTCGCCCATTGTGTTAGGACATGTCTGTTTTTATTTTTCGCATTTTCATTATTTTTTATCGTCCTTTTTTGCAAGAAAAAAAATATCAATTCTTTTGTTCAGTTTAAACATAGATAAAATATAATGAAGCCTAATCATCCACTTGTGACCACTGTGTCACAAGTTGACACCATTGAAGTGTGTCTACTCCTTCAGGAACATGCTTCATAATCTCCTGTATGGGATGACTATCCCAATGCTATGATTGTAGGCTATTATTGTAGTTATGCCATTTAGTGCCAACATATTCCAAAATTCAATGACGTATACGGCAGGAATTTTAAATTTAGTCTGCAAATAACTTGATTAAAAGTTACATGTAAAATAATAAATAATAATTTAAATTATTTAATATATTCTAATATACCTCAATCTTTGCTAATATCTTTTTTTCAAAAGGCTCCATGCCTTTGTTGCACCAAACAGAAAATGATATGGGTGTCAACACAGGATCTCTAGCAATAACACCCATATATGATCTTAATATATTAGACTCTGATATATTACATGACAAACTATTATCATTTACTTCTATATGCACACATGTGCCCGGAGGTAGATTTTGAAGATCTGCGCATATGGTTCGTCCCCTACGGTGGAGTGAAGGCCCTTGATTATATATATAAAAGTAGAAATATAAACAAACTTATATTTGATCACTTACATACTTGTAGGCAAGTTTCCAACATCAGAACGATGAGGTTGTTGCCCTAAACTATGATATAATGGTTGAGATTGTTCCAGAGTATCACTGCGATCTTCATCCATTGAATTATTTTTTGTTTTTGACTGTGAATTAGCTAATCTACCATTTTCGCAACTATTGGACACACCTCTAGAAATAACATTTTGTGCGCGCCTAAGTGATGTACTACCTGTCATTTATGAAATTAAAAATACATATCACATCATTTTCCTGAATCAATAGGACATGAAAAAGAGAAGGGGCATTTACATAAATATTATCCAATTCCTTCCTATATATGTATTTGCATCTATATGGCATGAAAGCAAATTCTTAAAGTTCTATTGACTTGAAGGTAGTTGACGAGCAAAAATTAGTTACCGTTTGAACAACAATGGAGAAAAATAAAAATGAAATAAAACTAGAAGCATGAAAAGAAATTAATGTTCTTTATTTCATGACATTAGTAAGCTGGTCATTGGCGAGGGATGCCACTTTCCTTTGAGCTCTAGTACTTTCCTTACTCAAGATAGGTTTCCAGAAAATATGATAGGATGATTAACAGAAATAACCATTAATAAGCCAAAAAATATTCAGTTTAAGTTCTTGCATTGATCAACAATTCCAATTCAGATATCAAACTTTTTTATTATCTAGCGGTGAAGCTTATGTAATCTAAATTACTAAAAAAATTATGAGATCTTGATTTGTAGTCGTATCATGTGAGCCACCACTCTTCACTTTTACCCTTTTTTTCCCAATATAATGAATTATTCAACTTTGAGACATATTCTTTGTTATTATTCTTTCAATAGTTATACAAAAAGCTTTAGTTTATTTGAACTAAAGCTTATGGCTATTATTTTCTACTATAAATTAGCCGTTGACAAATTTATGCATCGTCTCTGTCAAAAGAAATATTTGAAATGTTTTACCCTGAAATTTTTCATTGCAATACAAATATGAAATAAAATTCCGATCTGCATATCACATTAACAAAAAATTTACAAATAATACTGAAATTTCACATCAGCTTTTTATGTTATTTTTCTGATTCACTTTCTGACCTTGTCAACTTCATTATTTAAACATTTTAAGATTCAATCATATGTCACAGTATACTAACGACAGAAGAATGCAGTTGAGCAATCAATTATAACTGCGGCAGAATAGCGCAGTTGAGCAAACCAACGACAGAATAGCATATTGAGCAATTTCCACGCATATCACAAAAATTTTAGATATTTGCATATCTAACACCCAAACATTGATAGAAGTTCAATATCACAATTGAAATTACTTAGAAAATAGAAAAAAAAATGATAATCAAACATAACTGTCGCAATTTTTTAGTAAACCAATGAAAAAACTGCCACAAAATTTTTCTTTTCTATAGAATTTCTTTTTTGCGAGGGCATCGACCAACATTCTTTCAAATTGTTTGAATCCCTTAAATGCTAATCAAATCAAACCAGCAAAAGGCCCCATGAATATATAATTTCTTATGCACTAAAAAACTATACTGAGCTAAGCCTTAAGGTTAACAAATTCAAACATTAGTTCATTAAGAGGAAAGCATATTGACATCTTATTTCATGTGGCCATTAAAAAGTTTGACATTTAGACGTTTGATCCAAAAGAAAAAAAAAATTCATTCTGGAATCTGTTATTTTAATATTAATAACAAACCAAACAGGTAGAATATGCTAATAACATAACATCACAATAAAAAGTCAATGATTAAAATTTCTCAACATTAACAGTAATATATCTTAGCAGATGCACTTCTTAAAAATGTGACCATTTACTACTGATAATAGGATAATTTCTTCGCAAGCTTTGCCCTTGAATGGTTGATCATGAATGGCCCTGGAGCAAATATTCTGTGCGCTATTGCTGGTGCGGGGGTGCTTGTTGGTTAACAAGCTTCAAGTGATTGTCTTTGGGAAGAAGTTGGTTCTGGTGGAGCCCAAGTTCTTACAGATGGCGATGAAAAAAAAAAACAGAGTTTCATTTAAGAAATTTTTTTCTTACATCCAATATTCTGTTTTGGAGAAAGTTTTTTAAGACTAAAATTTTTTGGTTTTCCAAGAGCTTTGTCATGTTGATTTGATTCCTTTTGGGGTTACATTATATTTATTGTTGAGCTGATTGAGAATAATGTTTTTGGAAAATGACAGAGTATTGTTTCCTTCTGTCAAATTTTTTGTTTTATTATAATAAATTCAGATTTCTCATTACAAATTTTAACTTTTTTTACAATTGCTTATAGTTTTTCTACCTGATTGTAGTAATTTCTTGCACTCAAAACTCTAAATCAAAATCATTGATATACATCACAATATATGCTATGAATTTGATAGAATTATCTCCAAACCCGCCATGATCAAACTGTTTGGATTGAGATTAAATTATCTTTTATAATTATATTCAAACTACCTCTAAATCATAATTGAAACCACTATGAATCTTCTTAGAATCTTAACCGAACTTTCAAACAAGGTTTAAATAATGTTTTAATATGACTTGTATATAGCTCTATCATGCTTTAAATATGATTTAATTTTTGTTTAAAGAAAGAGAGATCAATAAAATTTTGATCATGGTTCAAAGATGATTCTATCATAGTTTGACTATGTTTTACTGATTATGTGAGCATTTTTTAAAGATGATTTATTTTAGTTTGCCTTTGTTCTCTCTTTTCCTTAGAGGCTATTTGGTTTGACAAAAAATAAAATGAATATAAAATATGAATGGCAAGCATGGTCATGTGACCATTAAAAAGTTAGCATTAAGTGTTGTCATAGTGGCAGCTGGAACAAGATTTTCTCACAACCTAGATTTAAGAATGAATTTTAAATGCTTCATAAATTTTTTATATATTTTGTGGCATCGTTAATGTATGGAATTTGGGTTTATTATCCAAAACAGAAATATAACCATGAAACATGGCCTCAAGATAGAGCAAGTTTTTAGAACAGTGATGACCCATTGCGGAATTGTTTATAATTTTGCACCTAAAAACATACATACAAACAAATATTAATTTTTTAATTAGTTTATCATCACTAATAATCATGTTAGAGCATAAAAAACAATTCAAGGAAAGAATATAGTACTTTGCAAATTAATTAATGTTTAAACCATGTTCAACCACAGTCTTCACTTTAAAGTTTGACATTACAGTATCACTTGTTATACCTAGTCATTTCAATGGGCAAGGCTTGACGAGAGCCACCTTTTTATCAAGCCTTAGCACAGATGAGCTCAAGGCTTCAAATTATTGCTAGCTTGGCCTCAAATGTAAGTTAAGAGGCTGAAGCCAATACTATGATCTTTGCATTCTGTTCTAGCAAAATTTACATACAGCAAAAGCTTTGAATCTTATAAAAGGAATATAATTCCAAGAATATCAGGCTCCCATACCTGTAGGAAAGGTCTCAACATTGGAGCGACCAGGCTGTTGTCCTGAACTATGATATGATGGTTGGGATGGTTCCAAAGTATCATTGCGATCTTCATCTATTGAATCAGGATTTGTTGGTGTAGACTATGATATAGCTAATCTATCATTTCCCCCTATTGGAAACACCTCTAGAAACAACCTTTTGTGCACGTCAAAGTGATCGACTACCAGTCATTTCTGAAATTAAAAATATATATTACATAATTTTTCATGAATCAATAGAAAAAAAAATGGTCAAACTAAAAGTTTAATTTAGGAAAAAAAAAATTCTCAAACTAAAATGAATACTCAAAGCATTTAAATGAGCTTGTTCATCCATATCTCAACATAGCAACCGTATATTATGCAAAGCTAGAAGTCAATAATGATTCTTAAGTATCGATTTATCATCATAAAGTAGACTGAGACCTACATCAAAGCCTATGTGACCAATACCAACCACATGCCTCATTTTCTGAAGAGTCGTGCTTGAAACATAATTAACCATATAGTTGCATCTATAAGAAACTCAACCAGGAAAATTAAAATTAGCCTTATTTGATTCTCTAGTTCATTTGGAACTGACGTATGGAAAACATTACTCAAGAATTCTCACGAGGTGGAAAAGGTGGTACATTTTTACTTCCTCACACCATAAGACGTCTCTGAAAGCCTAGGAAGGTTTTGCTTAATAAATTTGCCTTGCTTGGTACACTTGGAATAAAATTAATGACACTTGTAGAGTTCTGCATGCTTCTCTACAAGTGCATTGCTCAGGGTCATAAGGCTTGGAGATGTACATCACAAAGCTTATTTCGAATGTTTTTTACACAAGTAAAAATAGAGGAATTGACAAAAGTACTAAACCGTTTCATAAGTTATCAAGTGATTCCATCGTCAAAGCAACAAAGAATCTTCTTAAAACCTTATTTCATCAATAAATGGACTTAGCTTTTGGAAATAAAATCAGTAGTTGATCGGCTAGTGCCTAGTCAATTGTTTGTCAGCATTCAGAAGTAAATGAAGGGAAAAAATTTGTTGGATGCAAGTATCATATGATTAATGCACAAACATATTTTGCATGCATCTACTTGTATTTGTGGATAAGCCTTAAAATCCGAAAGCTGCCAGTTGAATATCTTAAGACACGGGTTATAGAGTCATCTAGACTTGATCATTTTATTGCCAGAATATAGTTTGATTTTTAAGAACTTTTTAAATTCAATGACCGAGAGCTAGAACATTAAAAGTGCATATAAAGGGAATTTTATGCAATCTAATATGCGGAATAGCACTGGAAAGATATTTAAAAGCTGCAGCCATTAAAAAAATGTTTTGTTGTACCTCAAAATAAATTTTTTTTTTTAGTGAAGCGTTGAACACAAGGTAACATTTACAACATCAAGTTAGGAATAAATGGAGAAGAAGTATAGAGAGTTTGCATAAAGGCCACTGATGAAAATGATGATGATGACAGTACACCTAAAAAAAAATATAAGTATGGTTCCAAGATTGAGAAGCGAGAAGTAATTTTGGTGATACAATGGTGTGAAAGATTAATAATGTGTTCAGCCTATGATGTAAATTAGAGTCAAGTGATTAAAATAGTACCATGTCAAAGGGAGCAAATAATTGGAGTTTCATATCAATAAAAGAATAACATTTACATAAATTAAGCAGCTAAGCTAAATCTAGTACTATGCAAGTTAATTAATGTTTGAACCATGTTCTACCATACTCTGCACTTTAAAGTTTGATATTACCGTATCACTTGTTATAACTGATGGTTTCACTGGGCAAGGATTGAAGAGAGCCGCTTTTTTACCAAACTTTAGCACGCATGAGCTCAAGGCTTCAAATTTACATTAGGCTGAAGCTAATACCATGATTTTTGCCTTTTGTTCTACCAAAGTTTACAAACAGCAAAAACATTAAATCTTATAAAAGTAAATTAATTCCAAGAATATCAGCTTGATGTGAATGATTCAAAGTTTTTGATTTGGTCCTTACAATAAGTCCACAAAGTATAGAAGTGTTTTACAAAGTGTTGAGCAAGAAAAAATCCTCAAGAAGATTATACAATATGCCGGAATTTCACACTTTCAGTGGGACGGGGATGAAAGGTTGAGAGAAGTGGAGATGATGCTTGAATCGAAGACATCTCTGGGTTTAACTGTTGCTCCAGAATGATTGATTGTCCAACTGTTGTTGAAGTGGAGATGATGCTTGTATTTAATATTTACTGGTGATAGAGCTACAGTATGAATAAGTAAACCATATTTGTAAAAAAAAAGGGAGAAAGTACTTTTCAATTTTGCATAATGTCATTGTAATTTCTGACTGTAATTTATCTAATTCACTTGGATTAATAACCTTAGCACATATCGATTTTAAAAATCGTGCAATATCCACAATAATGCTCATAACCTCTTACTGAGGGCAATAGAAAGTTGCTCCCGATAAAACCCAAAGATGTCTTCGATTCAAGCATCATCTCCAACTATTGCTGAATTGAGAAGTTGCTCCAATAGTACTATGGCTTCGATTCAAGCAACAGTTGGACAATCAGGCAATAAGAACACGACAGTCATAACTTTTTAATCCCATGATTTTACAATCAATAGTGTTCACGGCCTAAGAAATATTTGATAAATAACTTTTTCGAAGTTTCATATTTTTCATCACCTCGCAGAATATTAATCTCTGCATTTTTGACATCGTGAAATAAGTTGGAGGCAAGAGCTAATCACCATTTTCCAAGAGTTGTGGATGTAAATCTCTCCTTATACCAACGTCAACTAAATCCTGATATACTTGGAGGTTATGTTTAGATTTATCAAAACCTAATAAAGTGTCAACATTATTGTCAAAAATATTTTTTTCTATATGCATGAATGACATCTAAATTGTGAGGCAATAAATTAGTCTTCCAATATGATAACTTAAAAAAAAATACTCTTCTTCCATTTACTAGTAATGTCTGATTGTCCAACTGTTGCTCCAGAATGAAATCTTTTCAAACCTTTTAAAATTGACTTTGAAAGCTTATCATTTGAAGTTTAAATTTTCAGCTTCAGATAAAATTGTACTTCCATTACATCTCTGAGGTGCACTTCTGATTTCTTCTTTGTTATCAAAATGAAATTTTTTTTACGAAATATATGATCAAATGGTAGCCAACGTCGGTCACCCATATGAGAGAACTTCTTACTCTTATACAACCATAAGGACTCAGTACTTTCAACACAATAAGGACAAGCAAATCTTTCTTTTATACTACATCCAGATAATATTCCATATGCAGAAAAATTATTAATAGTCCATAATAAAGAAGCACACATGGTGAAATTCCCTCCACTTCCAACATCAAAACACTGAACTCCACGTCATAAGTCAAGTAATTCTTGAATTAGCAGTTGAAGATAAACATCAAAATTATTTCCAGGGTTTTTTTTTCCTCCAAGATAATTATTGATAAGATGAATGAGCTAAGCTTCATACCAATCCAAAGTAGCATATTATAAACAACTAAAATTATAGGCCAAATACTGTACGTAGTACTCATAACCTTGAATAGATTCAAACCATCAACAACCAATCCAAGACGAATATTACGATAGTCTGAAGCAAATTAAGGAATGATTTCTCAGCTTCTCCATCTGTTGGATGTCTTAACTTTCAATCTTCATTTCTATGTTTAGCATTTCAAATCATGTCTAATGCAGGTTTTTTGATTTGAATAATCTTCGTAAACTTGGAATCAATGAAAAATATCGATAATTTTTTATGCCTTCATATAGGTTTTCTTCCATTCAAATTAATTTTTTTCTGAGCCACAAGTACCGCATACTTCCTGACTAGACTTCTGTTTCCAAAATAACATGCACTCATTAGGAAATGCAACTATTTTTGTATAACCAAGATCAAATGCTCTCATCATTTTTTTCACCTCATATGTGTTCTTAGGCAATGAAGTGTTGTTGGGGAAGACTTCTAGTAATAGCTTCAGCAACATATCAAAAGATATTGCAATCCACGAGTATAATAATTCAAAAGAAATAAGTGCAATATAAAAGATAATTTTGCGAAAGACTAGTACCTTAGATATAATTTTGCTTTTGCATCTTCTAACTTCTTCAAACTCTTCAAACTTTGATCATCAAACTTTGATCATCACTTGTTGGATGAGAATTAGATGTTTCACAATCGATGAGAACTAGATGTTTCACAATCGATAGTTGGACTATTTTAATTATTTTCTGCAGTAAAAAGTGTCCCTTATTAATCCTTCTATAGCATTCATATTTGCTTTTTCTACTTGAATTTACGATTGTTGAGCATCAAACATGTTGTTTATTGTTTCATATTCTACATTTTCTATGATAGTGTTATACACTTCTCTGTATCGGTTCCACATGACATAACCAGGAAAAATTCCTCTAGATATCAAATGATCTTTGACATCTTCTATAGTATAGAAATATCTATTAATTCAAATTCTACAAGGACATAAAATTTTAGTTGTTGAATTTTTGCTCTTAGTTGCAAACTACAAGAAATTTTATACACCTCTTTTGTACTCAAGAGTCCATCTAAGGGCTTGTTTGGGTCAGCTTATAAGTGCGGCCGCATTTTTGAAAACGTCGCCTACTAGTTTGTTTCGCACGTTTGGAAAGATTATATCAAAACTGCGTTTTATATTTTCTATTACACGCGATCGCGGGGTTATACCCGCGACCCCGCGATCCGCGTTCACCTGCATCTTATTTCGCTTGTTTTACGCCTCTACCCCTCTCGCTCACGAAACCTGCCCCGCCCCTCTTTCCGAAAGCCAGGCAAAGCCCGTGGCCCTTCGTCGCTCCCCGTCACCGCAAGCCGGTCGAAGCCCATGAACCCCCTCCTACACATCCTCCATCGCTCTCCTCAACCAAATCTAGGCGCTCTTCGTCCTCCTCTGCCGAAAGACTGGATAACCTATGAAAGACTAGATAGCCTAACAACAACATTTTTTTAGGCGTTAACTGTGAAATGCAGATAAGTGGATCTACTTTGATGATGAATCAGTGAGGAATTTATGCCCTTTTAGCTCTGCTCGTGAAACAGATTTTTTTTTACATATAGGACACCTAAATTTCAGTTTTTTACGCACATACCACACAATTCCATACATCCAATTCCTATGCACATTTTCATACATA